GTCTGCGATGTGTCCATTTTGAGAAGGGCCTGGCCAGACTTGGGACCAAAGTTCTAACTGCTCCCACCCAGCCCTCACCTGCCCTAAGCTCAGAGACCGGCAGACGTGAGCGCCACGCCGTCCTGTGATGGCAGAGCCTGGTTCTCTCTGGTGATGGAGAATGACCCTTATTTATGTCTGCATAGGTATATTCTGGGGCCCATAAAGGTTTAATTGTCCCTCTAACTAGTTTTTTTTAAAAACCCACAAAGAGGCTGCCAGCTTTCCCCAGAGTTCAAAACCAGCTGAATGTGGTTCTGTGGAAACTGCTCTAAGTGTGTAACTTGCACCGTGTCCTGGGCACAAGGCGCGATTGTTTTGGGGACTGGAAAGATGCAGCTCTTAGGAGGGCTTTTAAAGTCCGTGCTTGTGGCTTTGGGCTGCTGCTGACCCTGGCTTGAGAGAGAGTCACTGGGTCTTAGAGACGCCCTCAGCAGGAGCTGCCTCTGTAAATTACACTCCCAGGGTGCCACTGCCCCCTGCTGCCCCGCCTGGTTGGGGGACCCTGACTCCTTGGGTGTGAGGTGGGGGCAGAGGCCCATCCCATGTCACGCACTCCTCGGCACCCGGCTTCCTGTTCGGGCCTCTGGTTCCATCTCGGTTCCATGGGCTCCCGCTGTGATCCAGGCGCAGCGGTGAATGAAGTGGCCAGTGCCTGCTCTCAGCAAGCTTCCACTCTCACGGGGACTCAGACTTGCAAACAAACAGAATTACAAACCGTGAGTGCTAGGAAGACAAAGAAGAGGGTGTTGAGAGATGCTAATGGAGGGCCACAGAAACTTTTCTGAGGAAGCTAGGCCCCATAAGCTAGACAAAAAGAATGAGAGGGAGGGAGGGAGCAGAGAGGGGGATAGAGGAGGGAGCAGCACCCAGAGCAGGAAGGAGCTGCGGAGTGAGATGTGGCTGGATAAGGAGGCAGTCAGTGCTGCTGCCAGAATCCCTGTCCTCTCTGGGAGCCCCTTTCCCAGAGCCTGGCAATCCCTGTCCACCGTGCTTCACGCTGAACCTCAAAGAGCTACGTCCACATGCCCCCCAGGTTCCTCAGCCCTTCTCACACTGCTCTTTGGCTCTGCGAAGATAACACATTAGTCAAAAGACTAAAGCAAATAGTTTGACATGCGGTTCTGCACCGTAAGAGAGGCTATAACGCAGTCAGTCGCAGTTTACACGACTCCAAATGGTTCCATTTAAATGTCCCACCCTGTATTTACCAGTCGACTGTTTATCTTCCAGTGTGCTCTCTCCTCGTCTGGCCTCTATCTAACTCCATCTCCGACTTTTCCATCCCCTGGCCTATCATTTACATTTTTCTTTAGGAAATGTAAACATTTATTTACAGTATTAGCTTTTCCTCTTGCGTAGCTCTATATATTCTGGACTAACAGACTGCGATATAGGTTCTAGTCCTGAATATCCTCTAAACTGGTGATGGCTGCAGTCAAGTCATGTGACCCCACTGAGCCTAAGACGCCTCTTTGTAAAATGAGGTGTTTTTTGTTTCTGTTATTTCACTTGGTTTTATAAAGCTCACAGATCCATATTCAGGATTCCTCTTCAATTCTGTGGCTCTGTACCTCTTGCCACCTACAAAGATTTCTCTTACAGCTTTATTTTTATCGACTCCTCCTTCAGAATGTCTTTGTGGGTGGGACCGACTTTCTGTATAATTTGCTTTGGTGGGATAGTGTACCCAAGATAATACTTAACAAATAAGAATAAATCATACTTTTGGGTTTGGGCTAAAGCTCACATATGTAGAGAGCTGGTTGAAAAGTAGGAAAATTCTAGCTGCAAGTTAGGTTAGATTGCTTCTCACACTGGGGTGGATGTACCTATGGGGGTACACAGAGGTGTGCCAGCAAGTATAGGAAGTATAGGTGTGCCTGCCTTCTGACATAAGGATTCTCAAAGATTTGCAGAGAGCAAACAGACTTAATATTACAAAAACATAGCTCTATGAAGAATGGAAGAGAAAAGTTATAGGACATCGGGACATAAAGGGAGCCCGGTGGACAGCTCTGGGCGCTCTGCAGTGTGTGAGCAGCAGGCATTGACTCCTGTCCTCGGCTTGCTTGAGGAGAACTTGTCTAAGGGTCTTTCGGAGGCCTGTGCACTTTGATGGGGTAAAGGCGTCAAGATCCTCAGGAGGCTCATTTCCTCTGAATAACGGGCGTGTGTGGGAAGTGCAGTTTCACCCATCAGGAGAGTTTAAGGAGGGTCTGAGATTGCGAGGGAGCCAGGCTAAACCAGAGACCGGGTTCCACAGACCAAGTCAGTGACCCGGTCTTGCTTAGGATCCTGGGAAAGGCTGTACTTGAACAGTCTGAATTGATCTGGGCATCTGGAAAATCTCTCACCCTTTCTCTGACCTCCAGTAGCACTTCTTGTTTGGAACCCAGCTTTGGTGCTTACTATACCATGACAATTAGTTATATTTTCTTGTTTATACAGCTTCTCAGCCAGAGTCAGGGAGGCAGTGTGAATTAAAAGTATATGATCAAGTGACAAGACCTTGCTTGCCTTGTGACTTTTGGTAACTCCCTGAAATCTCTCTGATCCCCTGTTTGCTCATCTATGAAATGGTCCAAAATAACACCCACTGTGCCCGCTGAATAGGCAGGATTGTGTACAGAACATATGGATTTGCCATGTCAAAGCATTTTGTAAATCATTAAACAAAAATCAGTTATTATTAACTAAGACCCCAAAGGGAAGGAGAGTATATCTCTCACATCATCTTTCTATTCCCCTCAACTTTTAACTTTGCCTAGTTAGTTCGGATATATTCATGATAAAGATCATGAAATGCTGTCCCCCCGCTGACCCTGAGAAAATGCTAACTCTGTCTTTCTCTCCTACCCCATCCTTTACTCCTCTTCTGGCTTCAGTTCCCCACCCCCACCATGTGCTCCCACACTGCTGGTTCTTCCCAGATAATTTGGGTTTAAAAGTACACTTATGCCCTGGCAGGTGTGGCTGAGTTGGTTGGGTGTCCTCCTGTGCACCTGGAAGTTGCTGGTTCAATTCCCCGGCAGGGCACATGCCCAGGTTGCGGGAGAGGGGAGCGTGCAGGAGGCGGCCAATGATGCTTCCCGCTCACATCTGTTTCTCTCCCTCTCCCTTCCTCTCTCTCTAAAAGTCAATAAAAAATATTTTTAAAAGAAGTACACTTAAAGAGGCTGCGCAATGTATATAAATGAACTACTGGAGTAATTTTAGGCACCAGAAGGGAGGGTTTTATGGCAATGCCATTTTTGTGGGGAAAAGAACTGGTTCATTCTGGAAAATTTCTCCCACAAGTAAAAATGCCCAAACAGAATTCTGGATTTTTTTTCTCTTGGAGAGAAATCAACAACCCAGCCTCTGTAAAAATGAAGAATCATATTTTCATTGAACTCTTTGCTAAAGTCACACGAGTCCCTCCCTCTTCTGGGCTGCCGTGAAAGCCAGCCTGCTGCGCAGTCCAGGTCCCTGGGGAAATACCAGGCCAGGGTGAGGAGGAGGGGAAGGTTTAGTCTGTAATGGTTAAGGGACACCCCCGCTGAACAGTAACTGTACCAGCCCCCCCCCCCCCCCCATGGGCCTCGGAGCGAAGTGGACTTTCTTCAGCAGAAATGTTCTCGGGCCTCTTCAATCTTCCTTGAAAATGCACAAGTTGTGAAAGAAAAATCCACATTCCACACGAACAACAGAAGAGTTATAATGAGAACTTAAGTGTCTTACGGGCACTACTTTCATCTTTTTATTTATTTATTTTTTAAAGTAAGCTTCTGTGGTAAGAAGTCAAGTCAGAGTAATAAGGATGGGAGTGTGGCGTGGAAGCTTTTTCATCTTTCCCCAGAGCGCAGGCACCGGAGGGGAAGGGGTCGCCCAGGCCCGCACATCCGTCCAGGGGCAACAGAGCCGAGCCAGCGCCGGGAAAGGCCGGGGGCCTGGGGCCGGAGCCGGGCGGGCGCAGCCCAGGCCCCGCGGCCCAGGCCGGAGCGGGCGGAGCTCGCAGCCCGGGCCCCGCGGCCCAGGCCGGAGCGGCCGGAGCGGCCGGAGTTCGCAGCCCAGGCCCCGCGGCCCAGGCCGGAGCGGGCGGAGCTCGCAGCCCGGGCCCCGCGGCCCAGGCCGGAGCGGGCGGAGCTCGCAGCCCAGGCCCCGCGGCCCAGGCCGGAGCGGGCGGAGCTCGCAGCACGCAGGCGCGGCGGACGCAGCACCTGGCAGCACGGCTCCCGGGGCCACACCTGGCAGGGGGCGCGGCCCTCTCACCGCGCGCTCTGGGGCCAGAGAGACCGGCTGAGGAGGAGGAAAACCGAGTGCCCCTTCCCTTCCTACGCAGTTGCAGGTGACCTTTGTGGTGAGGGCCGGGGGATGTCATGCAGGGACGGCCCCAGCCACCAATGGAACCAGAGCCTGGGTGGCTTCGTGCCCACGAGGGCGGCGGCGGCGGCGGCGGCTGGGCCAGCACGTGACCCGTCCCGTTGCCCCGGGAGACGGGCAGCGGTTTGTTTCCAAATCCCGGACTTCCCCCCAGCGCCCCCGCCGCCGCGGTGGTTCGGCCCGAGCCTCGAGGCCGCGCTGCCGCGGAGCCCGCTCCTGGCTGGGCGGCGAGTCGGGCGGGAGGAGGTGAGGACGTCGGCGCCCGGGCTCCCCCTGCTGCCGGGGCCGAGCGGGCCTGGGGAGGCCGCGTCGGGCCGGGAGGTCGCCTGGCGGGCGGCAGGGCCTGCCCAGCGCGCCGCCCCGCGGCTCTGCTTCCCCTTTGCGCCTCCAACGCTCGACCTCACTCTGAGCCCCTGTCCCTCCTCCTCGAGGCTGCTTTGTCCCTGGCTGTCCCCGGAGCGACCCCGAAGCTGCCTTCTTTTGGTTTGTCCAGGTCGGGCGTGACGGCCGGGCCCCAGAGCCCCTGGGCAGTTGGAAAGCCCCGGCCCCGGCGCCAACGGCGCGCCATTCAGCCCCACCCAGGTGCCGCCAGCAAGATGCAGGACGTGGAGGAGCACGCGCCCCCGCAGGACCCTGGCGATGCAGAGCGCGGCGCCTGTAGGCCCGAAACACCAGGACCGACCCAGGAGGACAAGAGCAGCCCCGAGGACCCACCTCCTCGTAGGTCCTGCCCTGGGGCCCCCGTCGCCCCTCGGGCGCTTCGTGTGGGTCCTGTTGGAAGGAGCCACTTACGGGTCTGCAGCTGCCGCAGCCTCACAGTTCTCTCGTCACCATCACCGTTCCTCGCTTTTGACTTGCCCTTCTCCCCCCACCCCAGTCTCCAGGCCCCCTGTTGACCACAAGGTCCTCAAAGAATTTTGGTCCTGTAGCAAGAAGTGACTGAAGCGTGATTACTTGAATGGGGCAAGATCTGAGGCTGAGTCAGTTCAGGTTGCTCTTTTTTTCTCTGTAGAGAAGATAGCATTCCACGTGACTGATACTGCGAACACCAGATTAGGGCACCCAGAGAGTTCTGGAAATTCTGCAGGTCGCAGTCAGGTTGGGAAAGGTTCCAGCGCTGGGGCAGCAGCTGGAAAGGCCCAGAGACATACCGGGAAGAACGGAATTGTCCCGCATCAGGGCAGAGCTGGGGGCAACTTTCTCCCAGACAGACGTGCTAGCAGAGGCCGCTGCTCCATTTCTGAGCCCCAGCGCCATACCTGAGACTCCATCCTGAGGCTGAGTCAGGACAAAGCTATCTTTGTTATTACTGTATTTTCAGTTTGTAGGTGGAAAATGGCAGACACCTGGGGTAGGTAGAGTTTAAAGAACCCAAATGACCCCAGACAGGAATTGTGTTCTCTTGGTGCTTCATTTTCTCAAGAAGTAATACTGCCCTGGGCTCATACTCCCCTCTTATACTGTATGTCCTCCTGTGTTCCTTTGGTCACTTCAGTTGGTCTAATCTCACTGGGACTTATCCTGACTTTCTCTTATAATAATCTCCAGAGAATTTAACTAGTCACCCATCTGAAGACCTACATCCAACAACATGAATTCTTGAAGATTCAAATGGAAAAAATTCAAGGCCCTGCTGCTAGGTTGAATTACCTTTGTTTCTCTTGTAGCCACGTGGGGTCGCTGCTGGATAACCGACTGGCACTAAAGCCCAAACTGGGTGCTTTGGAATCCTGATTGGAAATAGTATTCAGTAGATAGGAACCTGATGTGGGGTAAAAGTCCAGTTTTTTTTTTTTTTGTAAATACAATGTAAGCAATTTAAGTTCTTAAGGTGGCTACTTAAATGAATCCATAGGCAAGACAACTCTCAGTAAAATAACCAAATTCCAATAAAAAATAAGTAAATTGGAAATTTTATATACTAGGTTGATTTGGTTAAGTTAGTTACTATATTATCTTGAAAATGTCTTTATCCTTGAGATCTGGATTTTAAAAACCTACCTTAGTTGCATTTTACCTCTGCTTTCTGTTTGAGCCTCTTCTTTCCTGAACATTAGAGCTGTGGTGAGCGAGTCTTGTCTGAGCAGGCCGTGACCTGGGATTTGTTGTCATTGGAAAGGGTTTCTGTGCATATTTCCCTCCGTCCTTCAATGAGCAGCTATAGCCAGATCTCTGAAGATTGTCTCTTAGTTGTCATTTCAAATTAGTGGAAAGTCTATTTACATATTTGACTGTGTTTAGTCATTTTGGCTGGAACTAAAGATTTCAGAGAGGCTGAGAAAATAAAGGGAACTTCAAGTGTCCACTTAAGGTTCAATTCACCTTATGTTTACCTAAGCAGAAACTGGTAAATTCTACAAATCTTTTCTCCTTAACTTTTTATTTTGAAATATTTTAAATTTGTTGAAAAGTCAAAAAGAACATACAGTGAATGCCCACATTGTTAACATTTCTATCACATTGTGTATGCTCTCTCCCTATATGTGTTTTTTCTTAATCCTCACCTGAGGATATTTTTCCATTGATTTTTTTTTAGATAGAGTGGGAGGAAGAGAGGGAGAAGAAGAAAGAGAGAGAGAGAGAGAAACATCGATGTGAGAGAGACACATTGATTAGTTGCCTCCCGAATGACCCCGACCAGGGCTGGGGATAGAGCTGGAAATTGAGGTACATGCCCTTGACTGGGAATCAAACCATAGTTCTTAGGTACGTGGGCCCGACAATCTAACTGCTAAGCCAAACCGGCCAGGGCACTCTATATATTTTTTCTCATGGAAAATAAGTTAGAGTCATGTACCTCTAAAAACGTCATCATGTATCATCTAAAAACAAAGGCATTCTTTTATGTGACCTCCTTTCTGCAATAACTTTTCCCTTTTTTCATCATTAAATCTTTTTACAAATGGAAAACATAAACATTTACAAAAGAATAGAGGTTAGAATAATGAACCCCATTTAATCATCACCAGTTTCAACAATGATCAAGTCATGGCCAATCTTAGTTCATTAGTGTCTCCTCCACGTCTAGGAGCAAACTACGTTTCTGTGAACACATTGCGAAGCTTCATTGAAAGAGAGTGAGAAAAGTGGTTTGTTGTGTGCAGCTCTGTTCTATATGCCAAGTAATCCACATAACTACCATATATGCCGGTTACAGGAGAACGCTGTCAGCTGAGTCATGACTAAGCTGAGAACGGTGGTGCCCAATGCTAGTGCTGGTTTGTGACAAAATTCTTAGCAATATTTAGTAAAATGAAATAAAGATACTGGAATGAGTTTTTCCTGAAGCTAAATTGATTCCATTTGAAGGACTATCCTTTATTCTGACAGGGTTCCCCCTGCTCTTTTGGAGGCTACACCGTCCTTGCGTGGTTTTGGTGGTGGTAGAGTGGGCTTTTCATTTGCTTATTTGCTTGTTTCGCTGTGCGTTTACGGCTAAACAAAAAGATGGCAAGTTGTCAGAATCTTTTTGTAAACTTTGTTAGTCTGTGAAATCCTAAAATGTGGGAGATTGCTGCTTTAGAAGACCAGATGACGTTGGCACCATTCAGTACCATCTATATGGAGAATTTAACTTTATCAAGTGCAGGAAGAATAGTGTGGAATCCTAATATGTGCTTATCATAGTGTTTGTTTTTGAAAATAAATTGGTTCTTTGCAGCTTAATTATTATTTTACTTTATATTTTAATCACTTTCACTTTCTGTTTTTTAAAAAGTAACCTTTGTCCTTCCTTACCCCCATGTTGGACTCCTGAGGGGCATGGTCATGGGGCCCGGAGTTCAGAAAACAGAAAAGATGTGAATGGCTGAATGAGTTTGTGTAAGATCAGTTCGAATCCAATCTGGGGCCTACTCAGTATAGTGAATCTCTAAATAAACTAGTAATTCAGACTCTTGCGGTTTCACCATTGTCCACCATAAGTTCTTTCTGTCACAGGTCTGATAGATACAGGTAACGATGTTTCCAAGCCGAGCAACGAGATTGGGATGAATCATGATTTCCACAGGGGAGAGAAGGTTTTACCTCCAAGCAGGTACAGGCTCTTCTGATTTTCCCATTTTACTAATTTTGGTGTAGGTGTTTAGCACTAATGGCTTCTGATCAGACTTGAAGCATTTTTATTTAATAATGCAATCAGTGTTTGAATATTAGCCTTAAGAGGTCTCAACAATTAAATAGAAGAGTGATCAGTTACCACTTAGTACCAGAAGATCAAGAAGCAAATTTTATTTAATGAGTGAAACAAAGCAATTATTGTTGGAATGTTCGCTTTGGGACCCCAGTTAATAAAATATGAAGAGGTGGATTTCAGATCTTCGCTGACAGATTTTGGAGGAAGTAGCCTGGGTTGCTGTTTATTGCTGCATAACAAATTACCCCAAAATTTAGCAGCTAAAATAGCATTCATTATCTCACAGTTTCTATGGGTTGGGAACAGGCATGGTTTAAGTGTGCCTCTGGCTCAAGGTCTGTCATGAGGTTGTAGTCGGTCTGTTGACTATTGGCCAGAGCTTCCCTCAGCCCTGGCCACATGGCCCTATGGCCCTCCCCACAGGGCCGCTCACTGTGGACCACTGGCTTCCCTCACTAAGAGAAATCAGTCAGCCTCTGCTCCATTCTGTTCCCTAGAAGGGAGTCACTGAACCCAGCTCACACTCCAGGAAAAGGGATTACACCAGGGTGTGAATACCAGGAAATATAAATCTCTGGGGTCATTTTATCAGCTGCCTACACATAGCTCCTATCAGTTACACTTTTGAGTGATTGCAGATTAAAATGCACAGATAACAAGATTCATTTTCTTATAGTGGCCTTTTCAACTCTTTTTTTCTGTCTTCATAATCAGCTTAATTTATGAATTAGGATCATAACCTTGTTGATAAATAATACTCAAGCTTTATTTTAATTTCCCTTAGTTCTATTGACATTGCAATAAATAAGAACCCTTCAATAAGTATGAACTGAATGGCTTTGCTACTTATTGGCAGTTAAGGCAGCAAATTTACTGTCAGATTTTACATTTTTAAACAGTTCTAATTTCCTGCCAGTGGCCTGGTAAATAATGACAGTGGTTGGTCAGCAACCTTAAATGGTATTTTGCACCTTCAGGGACTCTTACTAAAGTGCCCTTCTCTGTCCCAGTTGCTGCCCTGGTCTTCATGCTCTGATTTACCCCTGCCTGGTGCCAACAGGTGTCCATGCCAAGCACAGCTTCCCTGGGACAGCTTTTCACTCAAATCCAGATCTAGCACCTCCCTCACTGCTTAGATGTGTTTGTTGCTGGCAGGAGAGGAGGAAAATGGAACAGGGAGAGTGGAGGTCTGCTACAGGGGTGTGCCAAGGAGTGGGGCGGGGCAGTAGGTGCAGGAAACCAGAGGCAGAGTGAAGCAGGGAAATAGAACTATTCGGAGCTGTTTTCAAGTAAGGTGATACGAAATTTACTTCTGGGAAAAGGCTGAAATGGAGTTTGAAGTTACTCATTATGGGCAATTGGCTTTACTCTGGGCTGGCACGATGCTGTTAATTGGAGTTGTAGGTTCCTAAAGGAAATCGCGTGTGCGGGCACCATTCATCAGGCGTTCACTGAGTCCTTACTGCGTGGCAGGCAGAGGCTGCAGGCTAGGGCTAGACACATTACAGCTGTGGAGAAGCAAGGCACCGTCTTTGCTGTCAGGAAGATTTCACAGGGGAGACAGGTGAATAACAAAGTAACTGATGAGTTGTGTGCATGGAGTTTAATGAGTGTGATCAGCTGCCTAAGGAGGAGCAGAGATTTGCCATGGAGGAAGATTTTGCCTACAAAGACTTGAGTCTTAGAGGATAAATAGGTGCTTTCCAGGTGCTGTAGGTGAGAAAGGCTGCTCCTGGCACAGGAAACATGTTGGAGGCACAGCGTGGTGGTGAAATGTGCTCAGTTCCCTACAAGGGTTTGGTGTGGTTGTGCAGGAGGCAGGAGGAGCTATACTGAAAGGGAGGCAGAGTGAAGTCAGGAAGGATCATACCGTATAAGCCATTTATGCTGCTGGTAAAGCCCTTAAAGGACTTTAAAGGAGCATGACATCATGATCAGAATTGCATCTTAGAAAAATCATTGGTTTTAGAATGAACTGATGGAGAACAGATTAAAAAGAGACAAGACTGAAGGCAGGGGACCAGTTAAGAGACTATGGCAGTAGTCCAGGTAAGAGATGATGGTAGGAGGGGATGAGCTCCAGAGACATTTAGTAAGCAAAACGTGTGGACTTGGAGGTGGATGAGAAGGAAAGAGCAGAGCACAGTCCAGTGCACACTGGACCATGAGACAAATAGTTGGTTACCTCTGATGGTTGAGATTTGTGTGTAGGAGAGGAACTTTGACTTGTTTGTTCATCTTTTTTTTTTCTTTTTACAAGGAGCATGCATTACTACTGTATTTAAAACTCTTTTTTTTCTTTATTGATTTTAGAGAGAGGAAGGGAGAGGGAGAGAGAGACATTGATGAGAGAGAACATCGATTGGCTGCCTCCTGCATGCCCCCCACTGGGGATTTAGCCCACAATCTGGGCATGTGCCCTGACCGGGAATTGAACCAGTGACCTCTTGGTGCATGGTTCGACGCTCAACCACTGAGCCACACTGGCTGGGCTACTACTGTATTTTAAAGGGTGGATGTTTAATTCAAGACAACCAATACCTATTTGGAAATGATTAGCTATAGCCTCAGAATTTTCAAATAGTTCTTTTTCTTATTAGCATAACTCTGTTGGACAAAGACAAGACATCACTTAAGAAAATATTCAAAGGAAAATTGATTCCTGTAATTTCTTTTTAAAAATTAATAGACTTAATTTTTGTGGAGTAGTTTTAGTTCTACAGAAAACGATGAGAAATTACGGAGAGTGCCCACACATGCCCCCATCACTCACATCCTGTATCAGTGCCGCGCACTTGTTACAGTGGGCTGTCCCATGTAACACCTCACTGTTCACTCAGTCCATAGTTCACACTGGGGTTCACTTTTTGTGTTGCATATACTACGAGTTTTGAAAATGTATAATGTCAGGTATCCACCATTACTGTATCATACATAGTAATTTCACTGCCCTAAGAATCCACTGAGCTCCACCTGTTCATTCCTCGCTTCCTCCCCACAAAGTCTTTGGGAACTAGTGATGTTTATATGTCTCCATAGGCTTCCAGAAAGTCCTGTGTTTGGACTCACACCAGTAGGCAGCCTTCTCAGATTGGCTTCTCTCACTCAGCGGTGCGCATCCCCGCTCTGTGTCTGTGGGGGTCGAGAGAGCATATCCTCTCAGCACAGTAACATTCCATTCATCCACTCACCCGCAGAACACATCTTGGTTGCTTCCAAGTTTTGAATAAAGCTCTATAAACCTCCATTCTCAGGTTTTTGTGTGGACATAGTTTCAGCTCATCTGAGTAAATACCGAGGAGCATGGTCCTGGCTCGTGTAGCAAGAGTAGGATTGGTTTTGTGAGGACTTGCTGAACTCTCCTCCAGAGGGCGGCACCGTCTGCACTCCCAGCCAGGGAATGCTGCTGCTCCGCATCCTTCCAGCGTTTGGACTTTCAGATAGTTGTGTGCCGATATCTCATCTTTATTTTAATTTGTATTTCCCTAAGGACATAAGTGTTGAGCATCTTTTCATATACTTATTTGCCATCTGTATGTGTTCTTTGGTGAGATGTCTGTTCATATCTTTCTCCATTTTAAAATTCAGTTGTTTGGTCTGGCTGGTGTGGCTCAGTGTTTGAGCATTGACCCATGTACCAAGAGATCGCCGGTTCGAGTCCCAATCAGGACACGTGCCCAGGTTGTGGGTCAGATCCCCAGTTGGGGGCATGCAGGAGGCGGTCAGTCGATGTTCTCTCTCATCGATGTCTCTCTCTTCCTCTCTCACTTCCTCTCTCTCTAAAATCAATAAAGGGAAAAAATTATTAAAAAAATAAATAAAATACAATTTGGTTGTTTGTTTGTTTTTTATCCTCACTCAAGGACGTTTTTGCATTTATCTTGAGATAGAGCAGGAGGGTGAGAGGGAGGAAAAGAGAGAGAGAAACATCGATGTGAGAGAGACATATCGAGTGGTTGCCACCCACACGACCCCAACTGGGCCGGGGACAAACTGCAACCGAGGTTTGTGTCCTTAGTGGGAACCAAACCTGGGACACTCTGGTCTGTGGGCTGATATTCTAACCGCTGAGCCAAACCGGCCAGGGCATCAGTTGTTTGTTTTTAAGTTCTGTGTATATTATGGAAAACAGTCCTTTATCAGATATGTGTTTAGTGAAGACTGTCTGTGGCTTGTCTTTAAATTCTTTTAACAGTGTCTCTCACAAAGTAGAACTTTTTAATTTTAATGAAGTGCGACTTACCAATTCTTTCTTTCTTGGATCTTGCTTTTGGTATTGTACCTTAAAGTCATTGCAAAGCCTAAGGTCACCTAGATTTTCTTCTAGTTATCTTCTAGAAGTTTTATAATTTTACATTTAGGTCTGTGATCTATCTGTGGACAGTATAAGGTCTATGTCTACATTTATATTTTTGCATGTGGATGTCCATGTGTTCCAGCACCACTGTTGAAAAGACTATCCTTCCTAAATTGAATTGCCTTTACTTATATATTTTTTTTTATCCTCACCCGAGGACATTTTTTGATATTTTGTTCAGATATAGTGAGAGGGAGAGAGAGAGAGAGAGAGAAACATCGACGTGAAAGTGACACATCGAGTGGTTGCCACCCACACGACCCAACCAGGGCTGGGGACAAACTGCAACCAAGGTACGTGCTCTTAGCGGGAACCGAACCCGGGTCTCTCCGGACCGCAGGCCGACGCTCTAACCGCTGAGCCAAACCGGCCAGGGCTACTTCTATTTTTTTAAGGGGAAAAAAAGAGACCGATCTTTCTGGCTTCTGTGACTGGGACGTGGGAGTGGCACTGAGACCGGGGAACACATTTGGAGGAGGAAGATAGTGAATTTAGTTTAGACCTGGATTTGGAAATATCTGTGGGTATTTAGGTGTAATCAAAGAGGGAGAATCCTTCCCTAGATATGAGGACGAGAAGACAATGAAAGATCCTTTGGTTCATTGCTGTATTTATACATAAATAGAAACCAAGTCACATATTATCTAGGCTAGATGCAAAGTCATTGCTAAGCTCCACCTGACCTCTGTTCAGGGTTCTTCCTTCTGCAGAGGGAGGGCTGACCTGGGATGTTGGGGAGCTTCTGGAAGGCTTTGCTGATGCCTTTGACTTTGAGTCTGACCCCAGCTGTTCAACTCTGTTGCTGTCCAAACATAGTTCTTGACCTTTTCCTGTCAATATAATGTTTTTTTTTATATCAAACACTGTTTGTGTGGGGCTTAGGAGATAATGACCTTATGGTAGTTTTTGGATAGAGAAAGTAATGTATCTGTTTAACCCTCTTACAGTCTGGAAGGCAAGGCCAAGGAGACAATGCACAATGCTTTTTGGGATCACCTTAAAGAGCAGCTATCAGCAACTCCCCCAGACTTCAGTTGTGCTCTTGAACTTCTGAAAGAAATTAAAGAGGTGAGTAGGTGAGTTACCAAGCTTCCATTTGTAGGTGTAAATTTCCTAGACTTTCCAGCTCATTCAAATGTTAGTTGCTAGCAAATTCTAATTGAGCATGGTTCATGAATCAGTCAGAATCTTATCTGTAGACAGAAATCACACTGTAATTTCAACAAGTTTTAATATAAAAATTATTGTAACAAAGAATTGGAGAAATGAGGGCTTGGGCTAGTAAGAAGCAAAGAGAATCTAAAGAATACTGGAATATCAGGTATAAGGAGACTCCACCACACCCCTAGGCTGACACAGAGCACCCAAAGATTCCTTTGTGAGGGCACAGCTGTGCCGGTGAAGTTGCTGGCCTGTGTGTGCTGCTGACCACCGTGCACTGCAGGAGCCTGGCCCCAGGAATGCCGCTCAGGCGTGGGAGCCGGGCGCTGGCGCAGCACGTACCCTGTAGGAGCCTGCCAAGGGCGCATTGTAGAAGGAGAGGAAGGCTCCTGCCTTTGCAGTGTCTTTCTAGTACGTGGTGGGCATACCCTAAGGTGCCCCCGCAAGCGATCCACATGCTTCGATGATACTCTCTCCTTGAGTGTGGACGAGATTTGTAACTTTCCTCTAAACAACAGAATATGGCAAAGGTGGTGGGATGTCACATTTCATTACTTCAGACTGTGTCTTAGCAGACTGGAGATTCTCCTGCTGGCCTTGAAGAAGCAAACAGGTAAGTTGCCAACTGCCTAGGGAGAGGGCCACATGGCAAGGAGATGCAGGTGGCCTCTAGGACCAGCATCCAACCAACAGCTGATAAGAAGCTGGGCCCTTAAGTTTATGGTATAAGGAACTGAACTCAGCCAACAGTTTGAATGAACCCAGCTGACACCTTACTAGAGCCTTGTGAGACCCCGAACAGAGGACCCAGTTGAGCTGCCTGGACCCCTGACCCACAGAAGCTGTGCGATAACAAAGGTATATGCTTTTTAAAGCAATTTGGTAACGTGTTATGCTGCAGAGAAACTAATAGTGCCCTCTACAGATGAAGCTTATAATATACCATCTGAAAGGACTTCATTTTTTCAGAGCAGAGAAAAGGATGGATTTGGAGCTGAGAGACAATAAATGGATAAATGTCACATTTGACCCCCTTGGCCGCTCAGCTTCCATGTGCAGGTTCTGCACACATTGCACTCTGAGACACCCAGTCTCACTGCTAGGTGGCCCAGACAACACCTAGTTCCTCCTGGGACGCTCAGACCACATGGTCACCTGACGTCCTATGGTGAGGTGTTACTTTTCTGCCAAGGCAGGAGCAAGGCAGGAACTGTTTCTCAAAAGGCAAACAGTTATGCATAGATTTGCTCCAGCCCCCTAGAGACTTGTGCTGCTGCTCCTATGGGTGCTTCCCAGAGGCTCTGCACAGCATCCCTCCCTGCCACCGACACTTCAAGTTTCAGAGTATCAGGAACCTGCTGGATCGTAAGGCCAAGAGGTGGAGAGACTTGTGTGGCAGCCTGCACTTGCTGCAGAGCCTACTCGGGCTCTGGTTTCCGCTTGAAATTGGCAACCTTATGAGTGACTGTAAATGGGTGTTGCATCAGAATGTCCAAAACTGTAGAGGATTTTTTAAAAATAAGAGTTTGAATGTATTTGAGTCAAACTGATGACATGCCAGGAAGAAAGACCTCAAGTGCTCCGGAGAAGGACAATTTTGCAGTTGTCCTTTGCAGTTGTACATTGGAATTAAGGAGGGCAGGTAAAAAAGATAATAGTTATCAAGAGTCTGTGCTCCGTTGAGGGGTCTGGAAAAGTGGATCACTCTGGCATCTCAGAGGTGTGCTAACTTAGATGCACAAGAACAGTGGACAGCACTTGCTTATGGCGAAGATAAACCTTTTACTAAATAAGTTATACTCCTGGGGGGTGACTGCCCAGCTGGGAATTTAGGGTCAGTCACATGACTTCTCAAATTGATTCCAGGGTCTTTTCAACCACAGAGCTCCACCATGGTGTTCGCTGCCCACAGGTGGTGTGCTCTTTTCATAGTGGGCGGGGGAGGTGCAGGGCTTGCCTCGCCTGGAGGACCCCGCGCCAGGAGCAGACCTCTGCACTCTGCCGGCTTCCCCGAGCTGACGGGCAGCTGCATTTTGTGGGACTCTGCCATCCTCCAGTCTGCCAGTCTTTCTGAGGCATTTAAAGCATGAAATACTTGCTACTTGCTGCTCACGAGGACCAATAGACAGATAGCCATTTGAGTTTGAACCTCAGTCATACCCGTTTTGTATCAGTCAGGGTCTGAGGATGAAGAGACCAGTCAGTAATTTGAACAGAGGAGCTGTGTGCCAGGGGCTTGCCGGGAGCACACGACCCGCAGGACGACCTCTTCCCGCAGTCCCTCTGTAGCACCCTCTGCTCACAGAACGAACGTGGCACCAGCAGCCTTGCCTTCACAGCGGAGCACGGACGGCGGACTTGGAACTGAGAGGCTCCCAGTGAACACCGGCGTGGTTTACCATTCAGTGGACGGCATGGAGCAACTTTCATTTCATTTGCTTAAGATGAAGCGAAACAGACGGCATCTTGGTATGACAACACGATATTCCTTCAATTGAACCAGTGATCACTGAGCCCCACCCCTCGACCCCGAGGTGCTCTGCTGCACAGCCACCTGGGTGAAGCAGGGACTGTTCCCAGGGAACTTACACTTTCAGGTTAATAGCTATGTTCAGTGACTCCTAACAGTTCCTATGTCTGTTTCCTCCTTGCTCTCTGAGGTGCAACTCAAGCATACCTCTTTTCAGAATGAGGAGTCTCCTCGCGCATGAAGGAGCGTGTCATATCTGTTGCACTGAGTTTCTTCTCACCACACACCTTGATTTTGTTTCTCTCTTTCTCACTCTGCGTAGAAAATATATTGTTGTAATTGATCCCCTAAAGCAGCGGTTCTCAACCTGTGGGTCGCAACCTCCTTGGGGGTCAAACGACCCTTTAACAGGGGTCGCCTAAGACATAACAGTAGCAAAATTACAGTTATGAAGTAGCAATGAAAATAATTTTTTGGTTGGGGGTCACCACAACATGAGGAACTGTATTGAAGGGTCACAGCATTAGGAAGGTTGAGAACCACTGCCCTAAAGCCTTGATCTTTTTTTTTTTTAATCCTCACCCAAGGATACTTTTCCATTTATCTTCAGATAGAGTGGGAGGCGGAGAGAGAGACACATACACACACATCGATTGGTTGCTTCCTGCATGGCCCCAACCAGGGCTGGGGACTGAACTGCAACTGAGGTACGTGTCCTTGATGGGAATCGAACCTGTGACTCTCTGGTCCGCGGGCCAACACTCTCTAACCGCTGAGCAAAACTGGCCAGGGCAAGCCTTGATCTTTTATTGGCCCCTAAATAAAGATAATAGTACCCTCTAGAAAATTCAGGGACCCAACTTCTTTTTTATTTGTTAATCCTCACCCAAGGATATTTTTTCATTGACTTTTTTTTTTTTAAGAGATAGCAGAAGAGAAGGAGGGGGGAGAGAGAAAGAGAGACTGAGAGACATCTGTTGCCTCCCATACTCACCCTGACCGGGGCTGGGAATGGAACCTGCAACCAAAGTACATGCCCTTGATTTTGAATCAAACTCGCACATCATGCAGACCAACACTCTGACCATTGAGCAACAGCAGCCAGTGCAGGACCTGGCTTCTTTTTTATTTTTAATATGTTTTTATTGATTATTTAGAGAGAGAGGAAGGGAAAGAGAGATAGAAACATCGATGTGAGAAAGAAACATAGATCGGCTGCCTCCTGCATTCCCCCTACTGGGGATCAAGCCCACAACCCGGGCATGTGCCCTGACCAGGAATCAAACCGGGACCTCTCAGCCCATGGGATGACGCTCAGTCCACTGAGCCACACTGGCCAGGCAGGACTTCTTTTTTTTTTTATCCTTACCCGAGGACATTTTTGCATTTATCTTCAGATAGAGTGGGAGGGAGAGAGGAGGGAAGAGAGAGAGAGAGAGAAAAACATCGATGTGAGAGAGAGACATCAACTGGTTGCCACCCACACAACCCCTACTGGGGCCGGGGACAAACTGCAACCGAGGTACGTGCCCTTAGTGGGAACCGAACCCAGGACTCTCTGGTCCACAGGCCGACAGTCTAACTGCTGAGCCAAACCAGCCAGGTTTTTTTTTTTTTTTCTCTTTATTGATTTTAGAGAGAGAGGAAGGGAGAGGGGGAGAGAGAGAGAGAAACACTGATGAGAGAGAACATCAACTGGCCACCTCTTGCATGCTCCCCACATGGGCATGTGCCCTGACTGGGAATCGAACCGGCAACCTGTTGGTGCATATGGGTTGACACTGAGCCACACCAGCCGGGCAAGGACCTGACTTCTGATTGATTGATTTTATCGTCACCCGAGGATACTTTTTCATTTTTTGTTCAGATAGAGTGGGAGGGAGAGAGAGAAAGAAACATCGATGTGAAAGGGACACATCAGGTGGCTGCCACCCGCACGACCCAACCAGGGCCGGGGACAAACTGCAACAGAGGTACGTGCCCTCAGCGGGAACCAAACCCGGGTCTCTCTGGACTGCAGGCCGACGCTCTAACCACTGAATCACACCGGCTGGGCAAGGACCTGACTTTTTAACCTTTCAAAGACACAGGCTGGGCCCTGGCTGGCGTGGCTTGGTGGGGGGGCATTATCCCGCGGACTGAAAGATGACGGGCTCGACTGCCAGTCCGGCACACACCCAGATTTTGGGTTTGATTCCACAGACTGATGTTTCTCTCGCTCCTTCTCTAATCAGAAAAGGCCACAGGCTGGGATATGTTTGGCTAACAGGGTTTCTGTTAGAGCAGGTTTGGGCTCTGAACAGAGTGCAGCCCCTTTGACTTTCTTTCCTGGACAGATCTTGCTGTCGTTGCTGTTGCCGCGCCAGAACCGCCTAAGAAGTGAGATCGAAGAAGCTCTGGACTCGGGCTTCCTCAAGCAGGAAGCGGAACGTGGGGCCCTGAATGTCCTTCGTCTCTCTAAGTACATCACCAGCATGATGACTTTGCTGTGTGCACCAGTTCGGGACGAGGCCGTGCAGAACCTAGACAGCATCACAGACTCTGCTCGGCTGCTGAGGTGAGAGACCTGGTTACTGTCCCCCGAGACCTGCCTCCTGTGACCACACACCGGACAGCAGCCCCTGTCTTGGCCGACCAGCTCTTCCCTGCTGAAGACCTGACTTCTTCCTCTCTGGCCTGTTAGCTTTCCTTTCCAGAGATGGCCTCGCCAGGCCCTCTGGCTGTCCTTGGATGGATTGGGCCCTGTATAACATCCTGCCGTAACACATTAGTGTGTGCAGTCTTTTCTTCCAAGAAGTTCAAACATCGCTTTCCCAAGTTTTCTTGTCAAAGTTCATATAATGTGAGAGGGCAGGAGTGAGAAGTTAGGCCTCTTTCATAGCTGTGGAAACTGAGATCCAGATCCAAAGAGTTAAAAAAAAGATTCACAGCCCTGGTTGGGTAGCTCAGTTGGTTAGAGCATCGTCCAATACACCAAGTGTGGGCTCGATCCCCTGTGTGCAGACAAGAGCCAGCACAGTGAATGCATAAGTAAGTGGAACAGCAAATCGATGTTTCCCTCTCTCTTTCTCCCTCCCTCTCTCTAAAGTCAATAAAAATTTTTAAAAAGTAATTGACCCAGAATTAGCATCACCTACAATCCCACCTCCCAGAGAGAATTGTTGGCGTGTGTGTGTGTGTGTGCTTCCACCGACTCCCTTTGTAAGAGACACCAGAATGACTGTTGTGGAAAGAGGTCTGGCTCAGAGCCTTCAAGGTCCAGAGGCATCAGTCCCCCTCTGCTGCTCTCTTACTCTGGACCTTGGGTTCGGGCCCCATGTCATCTTGTAAGTGGAAGAGGCAGGACTGAGCCTGAAAGCCCTCTGGTTCTAGAACACTGGGCTTTAACAGCTCCATAGGCAGGAGCCCTTCACCGGGTTTCCTTCCCTAGCATAACTACGCTCTCTGCTCGGTCAGAGGGATCTTCCAGGTCCTGGGCCTGATGAGGAGGGACATGATGACCTACACGATCCAGAGCCGCCAGCCCCACCCGCAGGAGCACTCCATCCAGCACGAGCGGGCCCGGTTCCAGGAGCGCCTCAGCAAGCAGCCGGGTGTGTGTGGCTGGGGACAGGCGTGGGAAGATGGGACCGGTCTGATCTCGGGATGCTGGAGGGTGCTCTGCCTCCTCTTAGGAACACACTTTCTTCCTCAGGTGGGGAGGGAGAAGGACCGGTTACCTAGGACAGGAAGGCAGCCCCCCGTCGGCATGAGTTACTGGCCAGGGGAATATCTGGGGAAGACCTTAGTCGTGAAGCCCGCTCTCCACCCTGTCCCAGGTCTCCTTGACCACACCACCAAGTGGCTCAGCCGCGCGGCAGCAGACCTCAGCACGCGGCCTCCAGCTTGCCCCGATGCCCCCGACCCCTCCGGCGTGGCCTGCCCCTCTCCAAACGAGGCAGCCAGCAGCCCAGAGCCCCTCAGCCCCACAATGGTGTTGTCCCAGGCTTTCTTGAACCTTCTGCTCTGGGACCCTGACAACAGAGAGTTCCCTGAGGTAGGCGTGTGGGGCGCTGCCCTGTGGGTCGTGTCCGGGACCTCCGTCAGGACCCTCCGTCTGACACCTGTCCTGTGCCTGCAGACGCTGCTGAGGGACAGAGCCCGGCTGCAGGAGCTGGAGGCCCAGCTGCGCCGCTCCACTGTCCTGGCCTCAGTCCTGCTGGTGGCCAGCAGCTTCTCTGGCAGTGTCCTGTTTGGCTCGCCTCGGTTTGTGGATAGGCTGAAACGCAGAACCAAAGCCCTCCTGGAAGAGTTTGATTCCAGGTGAGCTGCGCCGATTGTTTTTCAGGGGAGACAACAAGTGGGAGGATGTGGGATGCTTGCTTACGTTCCACCACAAACCACAGAAAGGCCCTTTGGGACCATCCACGGAGAGTGTTGGTGTCTTTCTCTAACTGGCCTTGTGGTTTGTGACAAAGAAAAAGAAAACTTTCTTCCAAGAAGAGTAGAGTGGAGGCTAGTTTGCTACAAACGACTCATTATCTTGTCTGCTGTAGAGGAGTCGCTGTGGGGTGAGTGGCCGACAGTGGCTGGACTCACGTGTGTGCAGGAGGAGCTGGTCAGGCAGCAGCACTGATCGGACGGTGCCGGGCAGGGTGTCCCCAGCGGGCTCCGGAGGCCAGGTGTGTTGCTGTAATCGGTGACACGGCCATGGAAAATGTCCCAAAAATCTTTAAAATGTATATACAAACATACAGAAAATAAATGCCACGGGGCTAAGGAATGCTGGGTGGATCCCAGGGCGGAACCAGATGCTTGTCTGGAGTTGATTTTAGTTTATCTTAGTTACTAAGTAGTAGAACGTGGTGTCATATGTAGAGAATCGTTGGTATCTTGAGAGTAAGTGTGAAGACACAGAACCTACCCACTGGGCACCGCTGCTCCCGGGGGCTGGGTGAGGGCAGGAGGGGCCCCAGTGTCAGGCCTGGAGCTTCCCAGGCTCTGGGCCGATGCTGGCGCCCCCTGGTGGGTATCAGCTTACTCTCCTTCGTGGTCTAGGCCTGAGGAGGCCATGCTGACTGTGAGTGAGCAGGTGTCTCAGGAAATCCACCAAAGCCTCAGGAACATGGGCCTTGCTGCTCTGAGCAGCGACAGCACAGCATCTTTGATGGGACAGCTCCAGGACATCGCCCTCAAGGAGAGCTGTGTGCGCAGCGTCATTGGTGAGCGTGCCCGCGGGGGTGGGGGGGGCGGGGCTGTGGGAGAGGTTGATCAACCCTGGAAGTCAGCACTGAGCCGCTTAGCAGTAAAAGGGCACGATCACTGTTTGGGCTTTCGTTTTTCAAAATGCTAGGGTGAAAATACATCTTTTTTATTTTTATTTATTTATTTTTATCCTCACCCAAGGACATTTTTGCATTTATCTTCAGATATGGCAAGAAGGAGAGAGGGAGGAACAGAGAGAGAGAAACACCAATGAGAAAGAGACATCACATGGTTGCCACCCACATGACCCCAACCGGGGCTGGGGACGAACCACAACCAAGGTACATGCCCTTAGTGGGAACCGAACCTGGGACTCTCTGGTCCACAGGCCGATGCTCTAACCACTGAGCAAAACTGGCTAGGGTAAAAATACATCATTTTGAGTTTAAAGACTGACTGTGGTTTTAAGGAAGATTTGCACCCAGGAATTCATGACTTCTAGGTGTGACATACTGTCCAACCAACCTGGATAGGTCATCCCTGACCTTCTTGGTCATTTTCTGACGGCAGTCTAAGACATGTGACATTCACTCCATGTCAACAAGAAACTGATGCTGAGTCATGCTTGTGGACCTGTTCCCAGGGCAGGGGTGCCCCCCCCCCATGTTGGAAGGGAGGCTGTGAACTGGGCCTGCTGCTGACCTCAGTCATCTGGAAGATCTGGAAGGTCCATCCAAGGCCCTCCTGTTATGTCAGATACTCAGGCTCTAACTGATGGATACTTAAGTAAGCTTTGGAATCGTCAAAAATTTACCAGCCCTCTAGTTTTCTTTGCTTTGTTTTTGGGAACTAGACAGCAACCCTTTTCCCCGCAAAGAACACATCTCCCTGTGTGTAGCTGAATGAGGAGCAGGATCAGCTGACCAGAGCCTGGGCCAGTACTGGGCAGCCTTTCTTTGCAAGTCATCCGCCCTTTCCCTTCTCACTGTTTCTCCTGCCACAGATCAGCGGATCCATTTGTTTCTCAGATGCTGTTTAGTTCTTGGTGTGCAGCGCTCTCTGTTAGACCTCCCCGGAGGCCTCACTCTCATTGAGGCAGAGCTGGCGGAACTGGGCCAAAAGTTTGTCAACCTAACACACCACAATCAGCAGGTGTTTGGCCCCTACTACACGGAGATCCTAAAAACCCTCCTCCCCCCAAGCCAGGCACCGCCAACAGAAGTGGAGTCTCTCTGATAGCACCAGCGCTGAGCCCTGCACCTTGGGCCCAGGAGAGAACCCCGCCATTTTCCTGGGGTGACATCACCAGTGACCAGCAAAGCAGCAAGCCTGCTTCCCTCTTGCGGCCAGTACCAGCCCTGTAGTGATGAAGCTTGTAAACACCAACTGGCCCAAACTCACTCCCTAATAAACTTGTGAACTGCAAGCAAACGCCCCCTGTGCTGCAGCCCTGGCAGAGCCGAAGGGCCAGCGCCCGGGTGCATTGTCTGTCTGAGGGCGAAGCCTTTGGCTGAGGGCTCTCAACTTTCTGTGCAGTCGTCCAAATGCGAGAATAAGGGCTTCTCTGGAAGTTAGAAATCTGTTTTGTCCAGTTCAGCTCAGGATTGGGCATGGTTGAAAGAAGTCCTTAGGAACCTCCTCTTCAGGGCCCAACTCCCGGAAGGTTTCAATGGTGCAGCGAGAAGTCAGCACATGGCGGGGTCTGAAGTGGTGCAGCCCGGATGAAATGGGTGTTGGCTGCTGCATGCGGACTGGTCCCAGGTTGCAGAGTTCATGGGATGTCTCTCAAGGGTCAGAGTTCAGGCTTGGTCAGTGAGGCCAGAGACTCACTCAAGTCATCTTCTCCCTTGGTCCTGTTCTCTGGCCGAGAGTCTCCTGTCCTCCAGCTCTAAGCCGAGGCCTTCTGGACAGAGGAGCTGTGGGCCGCGGGGCGGGGGGGGGGGGGGCAGCTCTGCCCTCCCACTGTGGGCCTTGACTGGCAGCTCTGGCTGTGAGCTCCTGCTGGCAGCCGGGTGAGAGGTGTCCTGAATGGCTGGGCTGGTGGAGACCCAGCCACCATCTCAGGGTGACTGCCGCAGCCCAGCCCCGACCTAGTACGCCTGAAATGAGGAGAATGCTCCGTTCAGATTTGGCCCTTTTTTTATCATGCAGAGAGAACATGGAAATTCATATATGTGCTCTCAAGGTCAGGTGAAGGGACACCCGGTTCTCCCCGTTTCAGGAGGTGGAGGGAGCTAGTGTAACACTTCATCTGGGAGGAACTGGAGGAGACTGAGGTCCGTTAGCCCAGGGTTCCCTCCGAGAGCAGAGCCCACGCGAGACGGCCAGGCCCCGGTGCGACTGCCCAGAAGGCTGGGAGGCCTGGGCCTTTCAGTTTCCAGTCTTGTAGCCAGAACCCTCAGGGTGGGGAAGCCCAGAAAAAGGAATGTGTTTCATAAACAGGGAGGCTTGCCTAGATGCAGTCTCTGATTTGCAACAATTAATTGAATTTTTAGAAACCCACATTTTGAAATTCTCATTCTTTCAGAGGCAGAGTGCTCTGAAGGGACCCAGTGACAAGCCACCTGGTGTGGGCGGACACCCCTGACAGGAGAACCAAGGCATTTTGTTATTTTCTTGCGCTTCCCACAGACGACACAGAGACCCTGACCTGACCAAGGAGAGTTCCACTCACACGCACATGGTCTGAGGGGCAGACATTTAAAGTTGTGCTGAACACACACAAGACCTACCATCAGTCACAAGCTGTGCAGTGTTGTATGACGGCCACGAGAGGAAGGCCCACTCCCACTGAGCAGTTGCTTCTCACCCGTCCTTCCCCGCAGCCCTGGTGGCCCCTGGCCTGCTCTCTGCTCCAGCAGACTTTCTGACTCCAGAGAGTCATATGATATGAGGTCTCTGTTACTGGCTTCCTTCACTTTATGTGCTTTAAAGATTTATCATGTAGCATGCATCAGTACTTCATTCCTTTTTATGGCTGCATAACATTCCATTATAGGGTCTGCCTCATCAGTTGATGGACACAGGGCTTGTTTCACCTTTGGCTTTTGTGAATGGTGCTGCCGTGAACATCTGTGTACAAGCTTTGATTGAACACTTGTTTTTAATGCTTTTGATTAGGGAATACACTGGAGTAAAACTGGTGGGTCATATAATAATTCTATGTTTACTTTATTGAGAAACCACTAGAACTGTTCTCCACTGTGGCTGTACCATTTTATACCCCACCCCGGCAGTGTATGAGGGTTCTGACTTCACATTTTCACCAAAACTTATTAAAAAAAAATTTGGGCCCTGGCCCGTTTTGCTTAGTGGTTAGAGCGTTGGCCTGTGGTCCAGAGACACCTGGGTTCAGTTCCCGCTAAGGGCATGTGCCTCGGTTGCACTTTGTCCCCGGCCCCGGTTGGGTCGTGCGGGTGGCAACCACTCGATGTGTCCCTTCGCATCGATGTCTCTCTCTCTCTCTCTCTCTCTCCCTCGCTCTCCCTCCCACTCTGTCTGAATAAAAAATGGAAAAAATGTCCTCGGGTGAAGATAAAAAAAAAAAAATTTTGGCCCTGGCTGGTTTGGCTCAGGTGGTTGGAGTGTCGGCCTGTGGACCAGAGTCTCGGGTTCGATTTCCAATCTAGGGCACATACCACAGTTGGGCATTTGATCCCTGGCCCAGGTGGAGTCATGGGGGAGGCAACCAATGGATGTGTCTCTTTCACACTGATGTTTCTCTCTTCTCTCCCTCCCTCCCTTCCACTCTATCTAAAAAAAAAAAAAAAAAAAAAAAAATCAGTGGAAAAATATCCTTGGATGAAGATTAAAAAAATAAAAACTGTAGGCATCTTAGTGGTGTGAAGTGGAATCTCACTGTGGTTACAATTTGCGTTTCTCTAATGATTAGTGACATTGAGCATCTGATGTGCTTATTAGGCACTTGTATGTCTTTGGCCAAATGTCTATTTTCATCCTTTGCCTAATTTTGAATGGGGTTGTTTGTTGTTGAGTTGAAGAGTTTCTTATATGTTCTGGATACTATTGTCAGATATATGATTTGCAAACATTTTCTCCTGTTCTATGGATAGGCAGCTCACTTTCTTGATAGTGTCTGTTGATGCCCCAGAATTTAATTGCGAAGTCCAATTTTTCAGGGTTTTTTGTTTTTGTTTTTTAATCCTCACTCGACACTTGCATTTATCTTCAGATAGGGTGGGAGGGAGGGAGAGAGAAACAGCGATGTGAGACACATCGAGTGGTTGCCCACCCACGTGACCCCAACCAAGGCCGGGGACAAACTGCAACCAAGATACGTGCCCTTAGCGGGAACCGAACCTGCGTCTCTGGTCCGTGGGCCGACGCTCTAACCGCTGAGCCAAACCGGCCAGGGCTCTCAGGTTTTCTTTTTACAGATTGTGCTTTGGGTGTCAAGCCTAAGAACTCTTTGCTTAGGCCTAGATCCCAAAGATTTTCTCCTGTTTTGTGCTAAAAGTTTTATAGTTCTATGTTTTATATTTAAGTCCATTTCGAATTAATTTTTATATAAAGTATGAGGCTTAGGTTGAGGTACTTTTTTGAGCCTATGGATGTCCAAATACTCCAGCATTATTTGTTGGCAAGTCGCTCTCCTCCATTAAATTGCTTTGTGCCTTTGTTAAAAATCAATCGGATATTTGTGTGGGTCTTTTTCTGGGTTGTCTCTTCTGTTTGATTGATCTATCTGTCTGTCTCTCTGCCACTATCACACAGTATTGACTGCTGTCGTTGTATAGTAAGTCTTGAAATTAGTAGACTGAGCCCTCCCACTTTATTCTTTTTCAAAGTTGTTTTGAGCTGTTCTGGTCCCTTTGCCTTCTACAGACTGCTCTTGTCTGAACCACAGAAACCTTGCTAGGTTTAGACAGGTGTTGTTACACCTGTGTATCAGTGTGGGAAGAACTGACATCTTTACTATGTTGAACATTCTAACCCTTGAGCATGGTCTATCTTTCAGTTATTCAGATCTTTGCGCGCTCTCGTCAATGCCGTGCAGCTTCTACCACGCACGCTCTGACCATGCACGCCCTGTGGATGGACTCCGAAGGGTTTGCTTTGAGTGATTATAGTGTTTTATTTTTATTTTTATTATTTTTTATTTATTTATTTTATATATATTTTTAAATCTTTATTGTTGAATGTAGAATGTATTACAGATGTTCCACATTTTCCCCCCCATTGACCCCCTCCTCCCCACTCCCACCTCCCTCCCGCCTTTTCCCACACTATTGTCTGTGTCCATTGGTTATGCATATAAATTCTTTGGTTTATTTCTTCCCACCCCCCCAGCCCCCTTCCCTTTGAGGTTTGTCAGTTTAGCAACCAATTTGTACTTGTTAATCCCTTCACCTTTTTCACCCATTCCCCCAAACTCCCTCCCATCTGGCAACCAACAAAATGTTCTCTGTATCTATGAGAATGTTTCTGTTCTATCTGTTCATTTTGTTTGTAGATTCCATTGTTGATAGATATGTGTTCATTGCCATTTTGTTTGTTCGTATATTTTATCTTTTTCTTCAAAAAGACCCTTCATCATTTCATATAATAACGGTTTGGTGGTGATGAACTCCTTTAACTTTTTCTTGTCTGGGAAAGTCTTTATATGGCCATCGATTCTAAATGACAGCTTTGCAGGATAGAGTAATCTTGGTTGTAGGTTCTTGCTTTCCATCACTCTGAATATTTCTTGCCATTCCCTTCTGGCCTGCAAAGTTTCTTTTGAGAAATCAGCTGACAGCCTAATGGGAACTCCCTTGTAGGTAACTAGCTGCCTTTCTCTTGCTGCTTTTAAGATTCTCTCTTTGTCTTGAACCTTTTGCATTTTGATGATGATGTGTCTTGGTGTGGGCCTCTTGGGGTTCATCTTGTTTGGGACTCTCTGTGCTTCCTGGACTTGTATGTCTGTTTCCTTCACCAAGTTAGGAAAATTTTCTGCCATTATTGTTTCAAACAGGTTTTTGATTTCTTGTTCTCTCTCTTCTCCTTCCGGCACCCCCGAGATGCGAATGTTGGCATGCTTGAGGTTGTCCCAGAGGCTCCTTACACTATCCTCATTTTTTTGGATTCTTTTTTCTTTTTGCTGTTCTGATTGGGTGTTTTTTTGCTTCTTTATATTCCAAATCAATAGTTTGCTCCTTGGATTTATGTACTCTATTACTGAAGCTGTGTAAATTATTCTTTATTTCAGTTAAAGCCTCCTTCGTTTCTAACTGTGC